TTAGCAGAATGCAGCGCACCCTTCATGCGACTCGCCGAATATCTCACGGCGCTTCGCGCTTGGTGATGTGAAAGCCTGGTCCGGTGAGATCCCGGCTTTGTAGGGATGCGAGGTGAATGGTCTAACGACTACGGCATGCACGACTATGTGTACACCCCCCACCCTCGATTCACCTTCGCGGTTTACCTAATGGCATAATGCCTTGTTTGCTCCCGCTGTGCCCCTCCTCTCTTCACCCCCTAATGGTTCATTTCTTTTGCTTTCTTTGTACATCAGGGTGGGAAATTGTCCCAGTACGACCGAAGCCTGTTCCAGAGGCTGGAAGCGAACGACCACCCCGTTCAAATGCTGGACGTGCAGTACCGCATGCACCCTACCATCTCAGCGTTTCCCAGGCGAGTCCCGCTTCCTTATGCTCTGCTTTACCGTAGCTTACACTGCTGTGTTAATTCAGGGCGAAGTTTTGTCATCACCATCTGAAAGTAGGTTCCCTTTGTTTCATCGATGAAGGGGACGACGCGCCTCGTACTTGTAAGGAAAAGAGAGAGATACATACGCTTTCGGAGCAAGTGTTCGGAAGGGAGTGACGTGCGAACGGGTTAGGGAGTCACGAGCCAACGGGAAACGGTTTGGTGGTCAATGGCCAGCGATGGGCTCGGTAAAGGTAACGCTAGAACCAAAGAGAGCAAGACGGGGCATCATCTCGAGCGCGGGATGATGGGATGGTTCAGTTCATGCAGTAACCATGATGGTTTTGCAACTTAGGACATCTGCCGACACGAGCAACACCAACTTGATGTGCCGTTCCCCCCTCAGACCTTGCTTCTGTAGTTTCGCAGCTTTGCCATAAGGGTCGGGTGTTGACGTTCGCCTGCGGTGTCCTCTTGCTGCGTGATCCACAGCGCAACGTTCTACGACGGCAAGCTGAAGGACGGTGGGAACGTAACTATGCCGGCCTACTCCCGTGCCTTCCACACGGTGAGAATGAATGTTTTGATGGAAACGGTTTGTGGCGTGTGAAGAACTTCGATTCTTTCCTTTGAAATTTTTATGTTCCTTCCGGACACGAAATTGTGTAATATCAAGTAAACAATGTTCACCCCCCTCCTGTGAAATGTTGCATGTCCTTTTTAAACAGTATGAACGATTTTTGGCGCGTGTGAACGTTCCCTCCTTCCTTTAAAGAAGTTGGTGTTCCTTGTGTTCTTTGCTGACACGAAACGGTAACATCAAACATTTCATAGGAGGGACGCCACATACGGCTTCGTGTAAGAGTGACCGCTGACTATTTCATAGGAATGAATGATAAATCGTTTCTACACCATATTCCGTTCCGTGTACGGGAGGGACAGCGAATGTTTCATAGGAGGGACGTAACTTCGTTCACTTAACACGAAACCGGCTAGGTGTAAAGTGAACGACCTTGCTCCCGTCCTATGAAATATTCGGTGCCCCTTCCGTACACGGAACGGATCTTGCTGTGCGAACGAATCTTTAATCATTCTTGTGAAGTAGTCAGCGGCCATGCTGATGCTGACACCAAGCGATGATGGCGTGTGAACGACATGGCTTCCCTCATATCAAGTGTTCGATGTTCCTTCCTTACCACACTAAAAAAAGGTTCGTTGGGAGTGAACGACGCGCACTCCTTCCTATGAAAATGTCGATACAGCAGTTTGTCCCCTTCTTACACGAAACGGTTTGTGGCGTAGTAACGACGTTCGCTCACTCCAATGAGAACTTCAAGGTTGCTTCTCTACGCGAAACGTTCGCCGAAACGGTTTGTGGAGCGTAAGAGCACTCACTCCTTTCCTTAAATAGTTTCATGTTGCATCCTTACATGAAAAGGTCGGTGTATCATGGACCTCATGTCCATCCTATGAACTATTCGGTTTTCCTTCCGCACGGGACGGGTTGTGGTGAAAAAAAAAATAAAAAAAATCCTGAGAACACGTCCTTCATCCTCACACGGGGCGGTTTTTGATGCCACAAACAGCTTCGTGCAAGAAGGCCGAGGTTTCACAGGAATTAATATCATCGTTCAAACAACGTTTCCGATTTTTGTACGGAGGAGACACCAAATATTTTATTGGAAGGAAGATGGATCGTTCTCGCCAAAAAAAAAATCTGAAGACGGAGTATCGTAGGAGCCGGAGAGTTGGCACCGGCCGGAGAGATAACACCGGCGGGAGAGATGGCACCGGTCGGAGAGATGGCACTGGGGTGCGAAAAAAAACGAGATATAAATCTACTTCGGTTTACGCACCGGGGTCTGTGAGATCGCACCCGGTGCGATCTCTCCGACCCCCAAATCCAAGATTGAACTCCTTTTCAGCTGCCGGAATGAGGTACATGTGCGTACCTTCTACAGGTGGGGACAGAGTCAGCGGAGCGCCGCTCCTTTTCGCACGGTTGGATGGTCGCGGTTCACGCGGGATACCAGTTGTTTTCGTTTTGTAATTGGTATGGAAGTTGCTAACCGTACACTCAACCAAACACACAACGTACAAGCCGCACCCTACCCGACCTTAGACAACCCGAAACTATTGTACTGCTGCGAAGCTGAAGGAGCTGCTGCAGGAGCTCCTGCAGCAACATCAGCAGCACCAGCACCAGCAGTACCGCCTCTGGTCTGTGAGGAAGGAGTATCCTGCACCCTCTGACATGGCACAATCTATGGCTGTGTGTGCGCTCGCACTGACTGGCATCGTCTGGATTTTTTTTTTTTTTGCGCTATTTCGCCTTTTTTCGGGGTACGTACAGTGGTGGCTACGGTTTAAGAGAGGGTCGTGACAGGCCAGTATTTCTCTCTTACATTCGGTTTTCGCTTAAGCCATACTGTGAAATGTTTATATTTCTCATGGTCGTGACAAGTCAGTTTGACTCTCTAAAAAATCGGTAATTTCTCTTAAATAGTCTCTCTTAAACCGTGGCCACCACTGTAGGTCGTATTTGTATTCCGCCTTTATCCGGCTCAGATATGCGTGTGCGTGCAGAACACCGTGTGCGTGCGTGGGTACCTACACTGGTACCAGTATTGACTGGTACGGCGACGGTCAGGGAGATGGCACCGGGGTGCTTGCGTACATTTGGGGCCCGCGAATAAGAAACGTCAATTTCGGGTCGAGGCTCAAAGTCTTGTTTTTCTGGCTGTCGGTGGAATACTCATTATTTTTCATAAAATAACAATTTTCTATTGTTTGGCTCTGTCGCCTGGCTTTGTATACGTCACTCAGTTAGTTGCCGTTTCTTTTGTTGCCCATTCTTTCGGCAACCATATCCTCCGTCCACGAACGTCTCCCAACCGATGATTGCGAAACACAGAAACTAAATGGACAAACCACTTCCGTGGGTCTAGTCTAACTGGTGCTGCCAAGG